GTCTAGTATGCCGGCTGCCTGTTTTTCCTGAAGACTACAGGGTGCTGTCTCCGACGCGATCCCTCCATTTGTGTTTACCTGTGGCGGTTCATGCTTGACAAAACCAATCCCTTGTTTGTATTTGAAGCAATTTTTCCACTATATTCTCGCTTCCCTGACTAACTGACGGTGAAGACACATATATGACACATATCTCCCATAGAATTGTCTCTCTCCCCTGAAGAAGCCCTTTCGGGGCGAAACATGTAGGGACTTACAGGAGCGTTTATACCATTCTGATAACAAACAACCATGTACATCGTAACTGCACGGTATCGTCACCATTCGGTGAACCTGCATTTGTAAAAGCATTTTTATTGATGATTTTGTATTCCGCTTTTTATCTTAAATAATGTATACAACGATTTATTGAATAAATGTACTTCTAAGATTTTTATACACGAGGTCTGGACTTGTTTCTTAAAAGCCCCCTTTTTTTTATTTTCCCCTCTGGGTCCTCGCACACCCCACTGTGGAAACCTTTTTTTCTTGTATCTGCTTACATTAAAATGCTGATTATAAACCCTCTAACATGATCCACTCCAGTAGACACGCTGTTTATGATCATCTGTGTACCTGCCTAATTATATTCTCCTGAACTTAGTCCGTGAACACTTATGAAGGATGTGAGTAAATAGTTAGTTAAAAAATAATGAGAAAGGCAGGGATGGTCAGGAGCAAAATGCTTTCTACCTATTGGAGTGGGTTACATTGGATGTTCTGGGATCATCAATAAATATTATTTCGAACCTCTGACTGTCAAAGAAAATCTGCCCTGAAAGAAATATATAGGCTGCCACTGCTGACATCCTTAGGTCAATGCTAAACTTTACTGTGTGGCAGAACACTGACTAGACACAAGTATACACACATGGAATGCTAACCTTGCTGCATGCTTGTTCTGGGGTGATGTCTAAGAAAGTACTGCAACCATTGCATGACAGCCAGGTGGGAGGGTCAGCAATAGCAGTCCTGTATTTTTCATTTAAAGCAGAACTCCGGGCAAATAAAATCGTAACCCTTGTAGTGGAGCCATCCCCGCATTGCAATGGTTAGGTGCTTATTTTGTCTAGGGAGCTAAAATAACAAAGCTGTCCTCGCCTGAACATCGACCCTGACGGACTTCTACACCGCTCCCTTCAGCCTGACTTCTCCTCTCCTCCAGCGTTGTTATGTCCCTCGGCGTCCTCACATTCTATACACTGTATGGAACGTCATGACTCACAGGACCTTAGACCTCTGAAGCAGAGGCTGAGGGGACCAGTCTAAGAGCAAGCTGAGGTTGTGATTCGGGCGAGTATAACTTTTTTTTATTTTAGCTTCCTAGACAAAATAAGCACTTAACTTTTGCAGGGTAGCCCCCCTGCAAGGGTGAACATTTTATTTGCCTGGAGTTCTGCTTTGAAAGTGATAATCAAGGACCCTATTATAGATAATATGCCATCCCCACTAACTACCATAGTGAAAATATAAGACTCTTCCAGGGTAAGTCAGGACAAATTAAAATAAAACAGATTTAGTACATCTTAACAATTTATGCACATTTCCCTAAGTTTTATCCTAAAATTTGAGTTTTATTTGCATCACACACATTAACTCTCCCATTAAGGATAATGCCTCTTTCCAGTAGCGATTTCTCATCATCCTTCCTCTTCCACTCTGTTGCCCAATCCTGGTCTCCCTGCAGCTCCGCATCCCTCCCTGATGCAGAGGAAGCCTCTTCACTCTCACACACTTCCCTCCAGACAGCTTAACAATCATGGGCAGTTCACCCCAGGAATATCCTACAGCTCTCTTCATTAATCCACTGTCCAAAACTCCTCTCCTGCAACCAGTAGCAGCTTCGCAGGAGGTGGCTGGGCCCGTCATCGGCAGTGATCGAGGAGGCGGGGCCCGGCGATTGAGGGGCGGGGCCCGGCGATCGAGGGGCGGGGCCTAGCGATCGAGGAGGCGGGGCCCAGTGAAGGAGGAGTCGATCGTGGAGGAGAAGGAGGCGGACAGAGGATCAGGGCTGACAGGTAAGAGGGCTTGACTGCCCGCCTGAGACCCTGCAGAGCCTACCATAAAGAGTCTATGCTGGGCTCTGCAGGGTAACCCTTAGGTGGACTGTTTGGGTTATCAGGTGGGCGTAACTAGAAATCACAGGGCCCCATACAAAATTTTGCTATGGGGCCCTGTGATTTCTAGTTACGCCCCTGCCTGCAACTACACGACTCTGTTCCCCAGAAGCCTGCCACCTCAAAAATCTGAGATCCCCACACCTTACTGATGCCCTGCATACACATGCTCCCTTTCATGTCAGCTCAACAACTCCCGGAAAACACATAGACCTCCTAAGCTGACACACACTTAGTGTTGATGCCAGTCCCCAGGCACCCCTATGCCTTCTGCACTCCTGTCCTGCACATGCTGCTATCTATCATATCCTCCACACTTCTGTCCTACACATACTGTGCACTCCCATGCCCTTCACACTCCTCTCTTGCACACATTGCCCACTGCCACACCTCTGAACCCTCTTTTGTACATACTGCCTGCCATCATACCTTTCACACTTCTTTCATGCGCACACCGCCTATTCCCATACATTCTGCACTCCTCTCCTGGCCACACTGCCTGCCGTCATACCCTCCTTTTCTGGACTGAAATCCCATCCATCCCTGCCTGCTGGTCTAGAGAACTCCACCTATCCCCCACCCCTCGCTGTTCCTATCTAGATGCATACATAGATTTCTCTCTCTTAGGAAAACACTGCTGCTATCTTGCCTATGAAGAGTCTGCCCATACACTGTGTTAAGGGAAAAGATGTTTGTGAGATGTAGTTGTGGGGTATGCCTACAATAGTATGAACTAGGGATACTCTGAAATTTTGGCCGCCTAAACGTTTTGGCCACAAAAGGTATTTTGGGCAAAATGCTGAAAGTACCATGATGGCAGAAAATTCAGTTCATCTCTAGCTTCTCTCCTCCCCACTGGACACCTGTCTGTGTCCTCCCTGATGCCCACTGCTCTCCCCTGCCTATGGCAGCAGAGGCAGCAGGGGTCCCTGGGGACACAGACCGGCGCCCAGTGTGGAGGAAATAAGCTTTCAGGAGGCTGAGCGGGTGGTGCAGGGAGGAGACAGCTGTCAGCTGTCACAAGAGGCTGAGCTCTCATACCACACTTCCTCGCTCAGCCTCCTGTGACAGGCAAGTCAGGATGCTGAGCGGAGCGCTGGGGGATGAGAGAGCTGTCAGCTGTCACAGGAGGCCAAGATCTCCTCCTACACCGCTCCGCTCAGCCTCCTGTGACAGGCGAGTCAGGATGCCGAGTGGAGCGATGCGGGAGGACAGCTGCCAGCTGTCACAGGAATCCAAGCTCTCCTCCCACAATACAACATTCAGCCTCCTTTGACAGGCAAGTCACAATGCCAAGGGGAGTAATACGGGAGGAGAGAGCTGTCCACTGTCACAGGGGGCCGAGCTCTCCAGGCGAGTCAGGATGCCGGGCGGAGTACAAGTACAGGAGTGTTTGTAAATAACTGAGGACATAGCATGCTTACTGTGTTCCCAGTTATGAATGAACAGGAAGTGTTCCTGTTCATTCATGGTTGTGGACATAGTAACTCATACTATATCCACAGTTTATGAATGGACCGGATCACTCAGTATAGAGGCTTTCTGTTGATTCATAACAGGTGCTGCAGAAAAAGAGATTGAGAATTCTGTGTCCTCAATCTCTTTTTCCTTTTCAAAAGGGAAATATCAGGGGTCTGTTCAGACCCCTGATATTTCCCCAGAGCCCCCAACAGTAAAGTGAAAAAGAAATAAAAAGAAAATAATTTTAAAATAATTTTAAAAAAATGTAAAAGGTTGGAAAAAAAAGTAAAAGTAATTTTTCGGTCTAAAAATTAAATTTCGGTAGATCCCTAGTATGAATTAATGCTCACAACAACTGCCCCTGCAAGAACTAAACAAGCCTGGTGATTCTGGCACAGGGAGTAATAAAAGCTCTTTCCTCAGGAAACAAGGAGAAAAAAAGAACCCCAAGTCCGATGATAAAGCATACAAGAATAATACAATTATCTAGGTGCTTTACCATGCTGTTACCCAGAAGTGGAAATCTCTGATCACTAGGGTTGCACAGATACCAAGTACAGTACTCGGTACAAGTACGAGTACATGTACCGATACTTTTGAGCTCCAAGACTAGACTAGAGAAAAATTCAAAAATTAGGAGGCAGCTGTCATTTGTAAGGACCATATGGAGCTCCTGGGATTTGTACATCTCTGTTTTAATGTACGATTTTGTTTTTATGAATATAAATAAAGGGATGCACAGATACCAGTTTTGCGAGTACGAGTACTGATAATTGCCCAAGTACTTACAAGTACGAGTACCGATAGATTTTTGTTTATTGTCATGTGACAGTTTTTCTAAATCAATACAGACTAAGGCCCCATTCACACGTAGCGATTTATCGCGCGATTTCCGCTGCGATATCGCGTATTTTTGCCGCGCGATATCGCGAGAAGTCACCGGCTAATGATATTTAATGGAGCTGTCTTAGCTCCATGTCGCTCGTCACGGTCGCAAGTCGCTTCTACAGGACCCTTTTTTCGGCGGATTTTGCTTTTTTCTAATGGAGCCCGACGGAGAAGGTCGCGCTACCGTCGCTGGAACGTCGCCCCGAAAGTCGCGCTATCCCGGCCGCTGCAAAAGGTATGTCGCTACGTGTGAATGGGGCCTAATGGTTTCAGGACAGTGGTGGAGCACCAGAGCCAGGTCCCAGCTGCAACCGCTGCAGCCCTGGTAGTTCTCATGAAAATGCCAAGTATCTGCACTGGTACTCAAAGTATCTGTGCATCCCTACTGATCACTGTTCTGTCCAGCAAATGGTAAATATAGGAACATTCTAGTCAGCTACATCTTTAGTGAAGAAGTCACATATGATCTTGATGCAATATTTTACAAAAAGTATTCATTTTATAATTACTTTTCCTTAACAATGTTATTGGATCTAGTCGTAGAAATATTATTATTTCCACTTTCTAACCACTTTTTAATGGCCATTTCACAGGCTTTTGGTCTCTTGTTCCAATCGATGTGCCACCTCAGGTTAGAGATAACATTTGTATAATTCTGTCCAAGGCTCGCTCTCCATTTGATAAACTCTTCCTTATTATACTGATGTACATTGTAAGATATTTTCCTGTAGTCTATAATTGATTGAAGTTTCTTCTCCATAGAGAGGACAATCGTGGGGTACAAAGGGGCCACATTTCTAAGCTCATCTGGATCAGCTGTTAAATCTGCAAAACATAATGATACGTATTTAAATCATGTGAATTGTGTACCTAAATGTTGTACTATTTACTGTGAACAGTTTTGACACTTATTACATTTACAGCCAGGGTTATATTATCCATAAAGGCCTCCTGGGCCAGTGCCTAGAACAGCAGCTTTACAGGGGCAGTATCATTTGTGATTTATAATTGTGGTTTAGGTTTACTGGTTTAGCTAAGAATTGTAGTCCTAGAGCTACACTTATGTTTTTGTTTTATGCTGGAGGAGGGCATTATCAAGCCTCAAAGTATAAAACTTTTATCATTTATCATTTTCTCTCCTGTCCACCTCTCATTTGTGGCCAAATTCAGCAAGTTAAATATGGGAGAGAAGGAACACAAGCATTAAGAAAGGAGTCACAAGGCTCTTTATTGTTCAGGAAACATGAAACCATCCCTGCTTTTTTGTTTGGTGGTCCATTTAAAAAGTAGCTCTGGAAATAAAGCAGACCATATGCTACCTCGAATAGTGAATCCTAGCAGTAGTTTTTACTAAGTCAGAGCTTGTAGCAAAGAGCGTCATAAGTCAGGTATACCTAGGGCAAAATGACCTACAGTATATATGGCCCTGATTCTATCAGTGCCTTAATAAAATAGAAGGCATTGTTACTTCCATTCAAGAATCCAAAAAACAACAAATGTATTCCCAGGTAAGGTTAGTGGCTTGAGTTAAAAAATTATTTTAAATGGCAAAACTATTATACCTATTAAAGTCAAATGAAACAAAGGAAAGCAAAGGAAAGGTATGGACCTCTACAAAATTACAGTTAAAGTGCATCTAAATGCAAGAAGAAAGAATATGTTGCTCATATGTGGTGGCTGCATAAGTTTTCCTTTTTTAGGCTTTTTATTTCTTTATTTTTACCTAGTGATCCTACCAGGAACACACTTCTGGTCCCTGGGTGACAATGCTCGATTCCTGTACAGTATCTATTCAGAAGAGATATTGCCACTCAAGAAGTAGAACAGCGTCATGCCTACAGAAGACAAATGTAGAAAAAGCTAGCACACAATTAGCAAATTGCAGATAAAAACTGGATTTACTTGAATGGCATAACAATTATGTTTTTGTGGCCAAACAGGACCCCTTTATCAAGGTGACATTGGTATTATGCCATTCAAGTAAATTCACTTTTTTACTTGCAATTTACCTATTGGTATTTGAGCTTTTCTCCGCACTTGAATCTATGTTGTCTTTGTTGCTTTGCAACTTTTTAATAATACTAAGCCTATGGAACATACAGGGCTATTCACTAAAGGGTGAAGGCAAGAGAAAATGAACAATCTAAGCCAATATAGCTGAACAGGAAAGTGAGCTGAATTGGAGAATCTTTCCAAATCAGCTATGTTGTCCTAGATTGTTCAGTTCTCCTGCCTTCTCCAAACTCTTCACCACTTCGTGAATAACCCTGGCAGTGTTAGATGGACCCAGAATACAGAACACCTTCTCCTCATCTCCATAACATAGGGGTAGGTGTTTTGTGGTTCACAGAGGAAAACCTGGGCATATAATACTCAACGGGAATCTGAGCTCAACATTTATATGACAACAAATGACGGGCATATATATAGGGTATGTAGTTCTGAGTGCATAATTTGCTACATAGTTATTTTATTGTGTTCTTCATTTTTAGGTTCTAACTTTCTATAATATAGGGATCAACCCACTATTGTTCTTAATAGAATGGTGAACCTGCACCTTTACTACATGATGCAGGTTCACCATTTACCTTGTATGCATCTGATCTGTCTTGATTATATATAGCATAGTGTAGGTGAGGATCCTTTGCAGTGAGGATTAATTTGTTTATATTGCTTGAAACATTTTTAAATATTTATACATTTATTTTGATTGACCATGGTCTGCTTAGCACAGGTTTTATTCGGAGTTCCCTGGTGGCTGTATATGGAACACATTGCCATTAGGGACAGGTAGATGAATTTTGGTGTTTTTGACTGATGTTATCTTGTGGGTTATATTTGTGGGTTATATTTGTGGGGTGTTTCTTTATTCTGTTACTTTTTATTGCATTGATGTTTTAAAATAAAGAAAGGTTTCATTATTTTGGGTATATTTGTGGTGTTGACATTCATATGGGGTTTCTTTTGGTGGGTTATTTGCAATATTAAATATGTCACTTTGGCTGCTGAATAGACCCAAGGGGTTGATTTACTAAAGGCTGTTCACTTTGCAAAGGAATTCTCACTTTGCAAGGGAATTTCCCTATACCTCAGTGATTATGGTGACATTCACTTTGCAAAGAATACCCAATCACCCGCAAGAAAAAAAACAAACAAAAAAAAACCCAGTAGTTTTGCATGTACATGATTGGATGATGGAAGTCAGCAGAGCTTCACCTCATTCACTAAACTAAGGGAAAATTCTCTTGTCAATTTAACAACCCATTTGTCTCTAATAATTCAACCCCAAAGATTTGTGCTAACATTTTTGCATGCAAATTGCTTAATTATTATGCAACTGCTTTTTGTGGACAAATAGGCACTCTGCCTATTTTATCTCTTGTGCCACAACTGCAAGCCCCTTTTTTGCAAGTTAATTTAACCTCACATCATTTCATAATGGCTAATTATTATACAACTTGCGTACAGATAATATATCCCTAACTTGTATTACAAAATATAACAAGCAACAGATTAGCAACCACAAACAATAAGCCAGTATTGATAAATGTCTCCAATTGGATGACATTTATCAAAGCAGTTGTAGATTATTAACCTGCAATTTGCATACAACACATTTTTTGGTCTGTTTTGCAACCAAACTGACAGATTTAGCTCTGTGTGATTGTACAGACAAATAGGGACTATTTCCTCTTGTTTGCCGCAACTGTAAGCACCCTTTTTTGCAAACTAATTTAACAACTAATCTGTCGCAGAACTAACAATTACTAAGGAGGACTTTTTAAACAGGCGCAGATATTGTAACTGATTACGCAACTTGCTTACAGGTAATAAATCTGTCACGAACTATATCCTATTATGTCCTAAAATATAAAAACCCTATAAAATATAAACTGGGACGGATTAGCCAGCAGAGTCACTAAGACAGTATTGATTAATGCACCCCATTGTGTGTAAATTATTATGCAATTTGTGTGTAGATAATAAATCTGTCCCTAACATGCAATACAAAATGTGAGATGCAGCATATTCGCGACGTCAAAGATAAAGAACATTTTAATTTATCTAAATATGCCGCTTTGGTTGCAAAATAGACCCAAAGCTTCATGCTAATATTTTACTCCCAAATGCACATTAATTAATATGAAACTGCTTTAAAAAAGACCCCCCTTTATTTGTTTGGGGATGCTATGACTGTAGAATATTACATATAGGGGTCTATTCACGAAGCAGCCGAAGGATCTAGCAGCACCTTCGGACCCCTTCGGTACTCACTATAGCCCGTACAGCTCCCAAAGTCGGCCGGGTGGCTCAGTCGAGGCATATGCTTTGGCTCGACTGAGCCGAGGTGAAAGCCGAAGCCTGCTTCTGACTGCTGGTTGGAGCCAGCCGTGATGTTACCACTTACACTGGCCACTTACAGAGAGATCAGCGCCCCTGGTTACCGGCTAACCAGGGACACTGATCTCCAGACAGCCTAACTCTCTCGGGCGCTCCGGGAGTCTCCCGCTCCCGGCCGCCCAGGAGAGAAACACTGCTTTTTCTTTTTTATTCATGGACATGGAGCCGTTGGCTGGCGTCAGAATAAAAAAAAACAAAAAAAAAAAAAAA